GCTGTACCGTTATCCTCACCTCCAGAAGGATGAAATTGAAAAATTGTAAAGAAGACGCTTGAAACAGGGGTGATTGAGCCAAGTTACAGCCCCTATTCCTCATCGATGCTACTTGTACGCAAGAAAGACGGAACTTGACGGATATGCATCAACTACTAAGCTTTAAATGACATCACCATCAAGGACAAGTACCTAATACCAGTGGTGGATGAACTTCTTGATGAGTTAAAATGAGCTCGAGTCTTCACGAAGTTGGACCTCCGATCCGGTTACCACCAAATTCGGGTATGTGAAGACGATATTCCAAAAACTGCATTCCGCACGTATGACGACCATTATGAATTCTTAGTAATGCCTTTTGGATTCACTAATGCTCCTTTAACCTGCCAAAGTCTTATGAACGATATTTTTCGGAGCTTTCTTTACAAATTTGTGCTGATATTTTTCAATGATATTCTCATTTACAGCTCTTCTCTTGAGACTCACTTTCAGCATTTACGGGTTGTTTTGACGATCCTTCGGGAGAATACACTTTTTGTTAAGCAACCAAAGTGCAACTTTCTCCAGCAAAAAGTAGAGTACCTTGGGCACATAATATCAGGAGTGACGGTAGACCCAACAAAAATTGAAGCAATGCAAGGCTGGTCGAAACCTACAAACATGAAATTACTACGCGGGTTCCTTGGACTAACGGGCTACTACCGAAAATTTGTCAAGGACTATGGGAAGATCAGTGCAACCCTCACTTCTCTCCTGAAAAAAAAATGTCTTCCAATGGTCGGACAAAGCCTCTGTTGCCTTCGACAAACTTAAGGCACCCATGACGACGACGCCGATGCTAACGCTACCAGATTTCGACAAAATTGAAGCAATGCAAGGCTGGTCGAAACCTACAAACATGAAATTACTACGCGGGTTCCTTGGACTAACGGGCTACTACCGAAAATTTGTCAAGGACTATGGGAAGATTAGTGCACCCCTCACTTCTCTCCTGAAAAAAAATGTCTTCCAATGGTCGGACAAAGCCTCTGTTGCCTTCGACAAACTTAAGGCACCCATGACGACGACGCCGGTGCTAACGCTACCAGATTTCAGCCAACCCTTCATCAATGAGGCCAACGCATCTGGAGTCCGAATTGGAGCCGTTCTTATGCAAGATGGTTGACCACTCGTATACACCAGCAAGGCATTGTCCCCCTCCCATCAAAACATGTCAATATATGATAAGGAGATGCTCGCCATTGTGCATGCAGTAACGAGGTGAAGACCCTACCTGATCGGTCGATGATTTCAAATTAAAACCGATCATAGAAGCCTCAAGTACTTTTTGGAGCAGAAGATATCATCCCCTAAGCAGCAAAAATGGGTAACCAAACTTCTAGTATTTGATTATGAAATTATTTACAAAAAGGGGAAAGAAAACATTGTTGCAGATGCACTCTCACGGCTACCTGAGCAAGCTAAATTTTTAGCCATCTCCCTTCTTACCATGGGCTTCCTCGAGGACATTAGGGAAGAATGGAAGAAGGATCAAGAGATTAGCAACATCAAAAAAAAATTGGAGGAGGATCCAAGTGCAATAGCCCACTACACTTGGGATTCGAGGGATCTACGCTACAAAGGTCGTATTGTGCTTATACCCGACTCCCCTTGCATCAAAATCATCCTGCATGAAATGCACTCCACACCTTCAGCAGGGCACTCCAGATTTTTAAGAACCTACAAAAGAGTGAAGCAAATTTTTTATTGGAGAGGGATGAAAAAAAATATTTCTGAATATATGGCACAATGTGGTATATGTCAACAGCACAAGGGTGAAACAGTGGCAAGTCCAGGGAAGCTACAACCACTACCCATACCGGACTCGGTGTGGACTGACATCTCTATGGACTTCATCAAAGGGCTACCACCTTCTAAAGGCAAAAGCATAATTCTCGTAGTAGTTGATTAACTTATGAAATATGCTCATTTTTTGTGCTGTGCGAAATCCCTACACTACTGCTAGCATTGCCTAGATTTTCATAGAAAATATTGTTAAATTGCATGGGATGCCAAGGTCCATTGTAAGTGATTGTGACAGGATCCTCACTAGTAAATTTTGGACCGAATTATTTCAGTTACAGGGCACCAAACTCAAGATGAGCACAACATATCATCCACAAACTGACAGCCAAACTGAGGTGGTAAACAGGTGTTTAGAGACGTACCTTCGGTGTTTCGCTAGTGACCGGCCAAAGGAGTGGGCGAAATGGCTTCCCTGGGCTGAATGGTGGTATAATACTACATATCATTCATCTACAAAACGTGCCCTTTATGAAGCACTGTATGGTTGGCCGACCCCTGTGATTCCAAAGTATATAATTGGCTCGGCCAAGGTAGATCAGGTCGACTAAGAATTGATTGACAGGGACAAACTCCTACAACTGCTAAAGGATAATCTCTTTACCGCTCAAGCTAGAATGAAGCAGCAAGCTGACACACGACGAAGCGAAAGAGAATTTTCAGTAGGAGATTGGGTTTATCTTCGCCTATAGCTATACAAGCAACTATCCATCAACACACGAGCCTCCATGAAACTATCCCCACGTTTTTATGGGCCCTATCAGATCATAGAGCGTATTGGAGTTGTGGCGTACAGACTTAAATTGTTTGAGGATGCCAAAATTCACACCGTCTTCCACGTGTCATGCCTGAAGCCCAAGTTGGGGGAACACGAGTCACCCTAGATCCAACTGCCTAACACCACTGATGATGGAGATATTCAAGCCCAGCCACAAGTCATCCTCGACCGTAGAATTGTGATGCATCATCGACGTCCCTCTACTGAAGTACTAGTGCATTAGAATAATTTACCACTTGAAGACGCCACATAGGAATCACATGTGGAGTTGAAGACCCGGTTCCCTGAGTTCATGGAACCTCAGCCTTAAGGACAAGGCTGATTTGGAGAGGGCAAGCTTGATAGGACCCTAGCAGGGTTGGGTCATACTCAACCAAGAAGCATCTAATAAAACCCTATGAGATTATAATAAACCCCACCTAGCCACCTCTATCCTATAAAGAAGAGTGGCTAGGGTTTATATTTGGGTCTTTGGGCTTCCTAACCGCCGCCCCCTTTTACTGGGCTGGTTGGTTAGGGTTGACGGCAAAAAGGGTAACTCACTTAGGAAGCAGCCCCTAGGGCTAGGGTTTGGAGCCCTATATAAGCATGTAGCTTCCATCTCTTTGAAAATAAGATCTATCTACAATTATAGCCATTTGGCCAACTTCTACGAGGGTGGAACCCCTATAGCGTTCCAAGGAGTGATCTCCCTCAAAGATCAATCTACATAGAATTCCTCTGGGGTTCTATCATCATGACATTTATAAGTATCCAAAGGTGGAAATGTAGTATTTGGACTGTAAAACTTATTGTGATGCATCATCTGATAACTGTTGTCCAAAATCTACATCAAAAAAATTGTTGATGGAAAGTATATGAGAAAAAGTAATTAAGAAAACAGTCCTAACAGGACTATGCAGGTTTTAAATAAGCGTTGATGGGAAACCTAACCAGATATATTAATATAAAGAGAAGGTAATTGGGATAGTATAATATGCAAATTATGCATCACCAGTAAAAGAAAAGCACTAAAACGATTTTTTGTGTATTATGAGAAAGCATCTTGTAACCCCATCTGACTCACTTCTGTCTCTTTTCTATTTTTCCCTTCTCAAAAATATAAATTTCTTACTTTTTGCTGTAATATAGGCAGTGCCACCATTTGTATCTACTGAGTATTTACTTTTCGTTTTTTTGAGGCCCTATAAAAGTAATGTACAACTAACCTTCTTTTCAGATCAGAGGTTCCTAGTGCGGTCAAAGCTGATCATCTACCACTTACTTGATAGATCTTAATTGGCTGTTTTAGGGGGTTATGTAGTTTTTAATTGTAGCTTTTCATCTTATGAAATTTAGTTCCGATCTAAAGCTTTTGAAGCATTTTGAATCAATGGACTTGTTAAAGAGTGGCAATCGCTTTTATGAGTGAGGTAATTGACTTCAAACAAGTCATTTGTTAAGCGAGGTTTCCATATCAACAACCATGGGCACCAAAACGAAATAAGAATGCAAATTAGACCTAAGATCCACATGATCTAACGATCAAAAGCAACTTAAAGTAATAAAAACATCACTGTTTCATCGCTTACCAGGTGCCTCGCCGCCAAGTTCTTCTGCAGAGCCTTTAGATCACCCTGGAAGCCCGAAGATGCCATCACGCACTTGTCCGCTCTGCACAACAACCGAACAGACAAAACATCAAATAGCTTGTCAGCATGAACCGAAAACCCAGGCTGGAAAACCCAGCAAACTAACGCAGCACAAGGGATTCGACCGTACAGTTTGCAGATCTTGGAGTAATCGCGGGTGTAGATACTGTAGCCTACGGAAAGCCTCGTGTCGGCGGCGATCACGCAGTAGTCCGTTCCCGCGATCGCAACGCACGTCCTGCAGCAAAGAGAACGAGAGGATGAAAACGCACATATCAAGAATTTGAAAGGAGGGCGGAGACAGGGAGATGGTGCGCACCCTCCGTTGTTCTCGTACACCCAGTCGCGGCGCAGAGCCATCTTGATGTTCTTCTTCTTGTCGTCGATGATGCAATGCGAGGGGGGGTCTGAAGCTATGTAGCGTTTTCTTTTCGGGGTCTTCGTTTCTTTTTCCTCAAGGCAGGGGATGGGAATACGATGGGCTCGGAACCGGGCCGGGCCGAGTCATCCTCCCCTGAGCCGAAACGCGTTGGGTTGAATTGGAAAGTTGTCACGGTTTATTTTGTGATTCCTCAAGAACATTTTCGTTGCATATTATTTATTTATTATTATGACAACCAAAAAATCACTAATAATATATTTTAGAAAATATATAACCACTTATTATTATTATTATTTTATTGGTATAAATTAGGAAAGAGTAACCCGGGCAATCAATAGTGGATCATAATATTAGGGCTGGACCGTGATGGGCCTAATAACGCACGCGCTCGGGAAGGCGGCGGTCCGGTGACATTCGTAGTTCGGGCGGAAATCCCTGCGCGATCGACCTCTCATGGCGCATGTCCCCAAATCTCGACGACGCCTCCCCTCGATTTCGCTTCCCTCGTCCATCCTCATCGTTTTCTCACATTTCTCAGCTTCTGCTTCGGGTTTTTATTCTTGTTTCCCTCGTTTTCAGCTGATGCGTGTCACTACATCTCTACTTTCTTTTCATTTTTCGTTGTTTATTACTACTATCAATACGACGAGCATATGAAGATTTACTTCGTGTCATGAACAGGACAACGGTGTCGCTGTGGCGACGTCTCTCGGCGGAGCCTGCTCAAATTCGGTGCTCTATTACTGCCCAAATCAACTTGAAGTTCCTTTCATCTCACGCTGCGCAGGTGTTTGTGAAAAGGTGCTGTTTCTTGCCCCGCTGTACTAGGCACATAATTGTAGTTCTCTTAATGTGCAGAAATTCCGCCCGTACATGCATATACATGGACATGCAATTATAGATTGCAAATATATATATGTACGTATGTGTATATATATATATAGCTGTATATATGTATATATATGTATATGTATATGTATA